AGCCTCTGCTTAAAGACCTCCAAAGAAGGAGACTCCACCACACTCCTTGGCAGCAAATTCCACTGTCAAACAGCTCTTACTGTCAGGAAGTTCTTCCTAATGTTTAGGTGGAATCTTCTTTCTTGTAGTTTGGATCCATTGCTCTGTGTCCGCTTCTCTGGAGCAGCAGAAAACACCCTTTCTCCCTCCTCTATATGACATCCTTTTATATATTTGAACATGGCTATCATATCACCCCTTAACCTCCTCTTCTTCAGGCTAAACATGCCCAGCTCCCTTAGCCGTTCCTCATAAGGCATCCTTTCCAGGCCTTTGACCATTTTGGTTGCCCTCCTCTGGACACGTTCCAGTTTGTCTTTCCCCCATACCTTCCAAAGGGGAAGGGAAATGGCAGAAGGTTTGGAAGCCTCCCCCACCCCTTCATAAATCCCAGCGTGGAGTTCTGGGCTCTTACAAAGAAATCCAGTGCCAACATCTTCCAGAATGTCTCTCCAACGATCAAGGAAGTGAGTGGTGATGCCCAGGTTTCGCCAGGTTTCGCCAGGTTTCGCCAGTGGGTAAGAGGATTCAGAAGAGGCACCGTTTTCAGACAGGGCAACATTGGTCTTGCCTGTTTCATGAAGCTGGACATGGCTGATTTTTTTTCTTTTTTTAATGGGCAGCCATTTCTTCTATAAAATACTTTCAGAGAGCAATTGGAAAGGGGGGAAAGTGAAGATGGGAAAGGCAGGTGGAAATATATTTACCGTATTTTTCGCTCCATAGGGCACACCGGACCATACGGCGCACCTAGTTTTTAGAGGGGGAAATAAAGAAAAAAATCCCGCTGGCTGTCTTGGCTTCCTCTTTAGTCACGCACAACCTCTCCATCCGGGAGAGGCTGTGCGCAGCTTTGGCAGAAGCCAAATTATTCGTTTTTAGCCATGGGGCTGGGGTGGGGGAAGCCCGAGCTTCCCCCGAACCCAGCTCCCAGAACAGGTCCGGGAGCGGTGGCAAGCGCTGCGGATAGCTGCCCGAAGCCCCGGGAGCTCAGCGCTGCGCTCCCCGGGCTTTTGGCTGCAGGCTGCTATCCGCAAGCCTTCGGAGCCCAGCGGGAACTCCCGCCGCGCTCTGAAGGCTTGCGGATAGCTGCCTGAAGCCTGGAGAGTGAGAGGAGTCGGTGCGCACCGACCCCTCTCGCTCTCCAAGCTTCAGCGAAAGCCTGCATTCGCTCCATAGGACACACATACATTTCCCCTTCATTTTTGGAGGGGAAAAAGTGCATCCTATAGATCAAAAAATAGAGTAAGCTGCAGTTGTGGGAAGGTGCAACTCAACTGATGGTGGAAGAGGTATTGGCATCAGCTAAGTTGCCACTCCTGTATCCACAGAGAGTTTGGTGGAAAGAGCCAGTTTCGCTTTAGCTTCTAATCTCAGCCATTCACTCATTTTTTTTAAAAAAAATTACAAAATTCATACGAGAGCTTTGCAGGGCTGAGTGTTCTCCCTTCCTTTCCTCAAGTCATACTGACAAGGCACGTTGAGAAAAATCTGCAACAACAGATGGTAGGGACTGCCACTTTTGCTCCCTGAGCACCTGGCACACACAACAACTTTGCCTGCATTCCCCGTGCAACAAATTCTGTCCGCTCAACCCACAAATTCTATCCTCTCGACCCATAATTTTCAGCCTTGCCCTTTTGGGTTCTGTGAGCTGCTCCTAGCTGCAATAGCACAGGGGTGGGACGATTTGGTTCAGTTTGCTAATTGACCTTGTTCAGTATTGTCTATACCAGTGGTTCTCAAAGCATGGGCATACCTCAAGGCTGTGGCATGCCACAGTGGTGTGGAGGGAGAGGATGGTAAGTGTGGCAGGAAGATTGATGGACAATCGGTATTATACCTCGGGAATGATTCATGTTCTTATGTAGTTGCCTTGTTTTATACTTTATGGACGTCCCATGAAAGACCTACACTGGCTCCCAGTACGTTTCCGAGCACAATTCAAAGTGTTGGTGCTGACCTTTAAAGCCCTAAACGGCCTCGGCCCAGTATACCTGAAGGAGCGTCTCCACCCCCATCGTTCTGCCCAGACACTGAAGTCTAGCTCCGAGGGCCTTCTGGAGGTTCCCTCACTGCAAGAAGCAAAGCTACAGGCAACCAGGCAGAGGGCCTTCTCGGTAGTGGCACCCGCCCTGTGGAACGCCCTCCCATCAGATGTCAAAGAAATAAACAACTACCTGACATTTAGAAGACATCTGAAGGCAGCCCTGTTCAGGGAAGTTTTTAATGTGTGACATTTTAATGTATTTTTAATCTTTGTTGGAAGCCGCCCAGAGTGGCTGGGGGAACCCAGCCAGATGGGTGGGGTACAAATAACAAATGATGATGATGATGATAATGAAGAAGTAGTTGTGTTGTACATTATAAATCGAGCACTGCTAGGAGTTTTTTTATTTCCCCCCATTTCTTTTTGTTTTCCAAAGTATTTCTTATCAATAAATAATTCAATGTGGTACGAGCAAAGCAGTTCCTCTTCCACTGAGCTATTCCCTTTCCCTGTGTCCTGGTTCCAATTTAACTAAAGGCATAGGCAGTTCCCTTGTAAAGGTAAAGGGACCCCTGACTGTTAGGTCCAGTCGTGCCCGACTCTGGGGTTGCAGCGCTCATCTCACTTTACTGGCCAAGGGAGCCGGCGTACAGCTTCCGGGTCATGTGGCCAGCAGACTAAGCTGAACCAGAGCAGTGCATGGAAACGCCGTTTACCTTCCCGCTGGAGCGGTACCTATTTATCTACTTGCACTTTGACATGCTTTCAAACTGCTTGGTTGGCAGGAGCAGGGACCGAGCAACGGGAGCTCACCCTGTCGCGGGGATTCGAACTGCCGACCTTCTGATCGGCAAGCCCTAGGGTCTGTGGTTTAGACCACAGCGCCACCTGTGTACAGTCAGGCAATTGGTGCATCTAGTTGACTACACGGATTGGAAGCAGCTCTCCAGGGTTTCAAGCAGGGGTGTCTCCTAGACCTAAACCTTACCTAGAGATGCCAGATCAAGCACAGCAGATCGGTGACCGGCCTCTCCCCACACCAGGAAATACTGTAATGCTTCTTAAAACAACATGCAATGTTAGGGCTGCCTTACATCTGGACATTACCGAGATTTCAAAGGTAGAATTTCAAAAAGGTGGCACTTTGTCCTGCATCTTTTTTGTAAAAAAAAGGGGTCTTCCTAAAAACTTTTGGGTTGTCCTGGTTTTTACTTTTTCAAATATGGCAACCCTATGCAAAGTGAAACGAACCTATCCTTTAAAATTTGCACTTCTCTGAAATTTTGCAATGCACTTCTCCAACACTTCGGAATTGTATAGAAATGTGTATATTAGTAGAAAGCGTGCATGAAAATAACATTATTTACTATGGGAAACTGCCTTGCAAAAATGTGTAAAATAAATACCAGGCAAGATCACAAAAAAATGTGTCTATTTGGGGATGCTGAACATTTTTCCACGCAAAATTTCGTGCATCTGGAATCTGGGAGTTTTTGGTTCACGTTATCACGATGAGGTCTTTGAAGCAAATGCCAAGTCGTGAACGTGTGTGGCACTTTGCGGCTCGAACAACAAATTCAGTCCCTTGCCCCGAGGAGGATACAATCCAGAAGCTGACTATGTAGCAGACTTTGACAGAAGGAGAAAGATGGAGCAACTGTGGTTGAGAGGCCTACAGAAATGTCTTTGAGGTTGAGAATAAAGACAGCGGAAATATGCCAATTTAGATTTCCATCAGGGCCTCACCTGCCCCCATGTAATTCTCTGTTCTCCTCGTTGACACATCAGTTTGTGATTTCTCTTTTACTTTTTTGGGGGGAAGTCATCATGAAAATTCATCAGCATTTTAGTGAGGATGTCTCCTAAAATAGGACATGTTTGTAGGTAATTTCCCCCTTACAATGTACATTTTTGCAAAACAAGTTCCCCTGACTTAAGGCGTTTCTGCGTGTTTTCTTTTCACCAACAGATGCACGCTTTGGTATATGCCTTTTCGTGACTTGGCTGGGGAACTGCGGTGCCAAATTCAGAGAATTGCAAATTCTGAAGGCAGGAGCGACTTTTTTTTAATTCATGTATTTGTTTCAGAAAGTGTGCCTTTGGTAGGTAAAGGGACCCCTGACCATTAGGTTCAGTCGTGACCGACTCTGGGGTTGTGGCGCTCATCTCGCTTTACTGGCTGAGGGAGCCGGCGTACAGCTTCCGGGTCGTGGCCAGCATGACTAAGCCACTTCTGGTGAACCAGAGCAGTGCACGGAAATGCCATTTACCTTCCCGCTGGAGCGGTACCTATTTATCTACTTGCATTTTGACGTGCTTTCGAACTGCTAGGTTGGCAGGAGCAGGGACCGAGCAACGGGAGCTCACCCCGTCGCAGGGATTCGAACCGCCGACCTTCTGATCGGCAAGTCCTAGGCTCTGTGGTTTAACCCACAGCGCCACCCGTGTCCCTTGGTAGGTGTGAATTAATCTACGTTCTTCACAGTTGTGAGTGACGACTCAGGAGGGTGGGTATCGCTACCGTTCTCTCTTTGAGGCTGAACACTCCATTTCTGTGGATCTCTCCCATTTTGCCCAGGTCCTTCCCCTTCCCTCTTCCCATTCTGGGTCTGCAAAATGTATTTCTAAGAAACCACCGTGCTGCATCAGGCCAAAGAGAGCCCATCTAGTCCACCCTCCTGTTCTCAAATCAGCCAATCAGAGGCCCAGCAAACAGCAGCAGATCACTCCCCATTTGTGATGACCCGCAATTAATATTCGGAGGAAAAGTTGTGTGTGTGTGTGTGTATATATACAAGGTGTCAGTTACTAAAATAAAACCAGCCGCCTCCGGGATGTGGCCATCTGCCCGCCCCCGAATTCTGCTTTCGGGATCCAAAATACTACAACCTATTTTTAAAGCATCTGTTGCGGACCTTTGCCTTTTGGGGGGCAGATCAGGTTGCAGAGGCTCAGCTGTCTCTAGGCTGCTGGCTACAAGCAATTGATGTCTTTTCCCCCTCGATTATCACGAGAAGGCAGGAGCTTGGGGCCGCTGGGGGAGTTTATGGAGGAAAGCTGGCAGTTTCCCCGCAGGGGGAGTTTGACGAAGCAGCATTCTAGTTCACATCGAGGTAAGCATTTTGGTTTATTCTTTCTGCATTTCTTTTCATGCACACACACACACACACACACACACAGAGAAAGAGATACATACCACTTAGTTTTGAGATACCGACCATTTTAAATATGTATCCTCAGAGGGGAGGCTGCTTCCTCCTTTCTTGTGACAGCAGGTCGCAGTGGGTGAAAGAGGGGCACTCTGCACATGCTCAAAGGCATCTTCGTGCATTGCTTCGTATCTGTTTCTTTAAAGAATTGTCTTGGCCAAAAGATGAGACAGAGTTAGTGCTAAGTGGGTAAGGTTTATGGAGAGGTAGAAAAGAGCAAGGCTGGTATAAAATTATGATCTTAGCTGGTATGCTTGTTATTGCATCAGGATGGGAAGAAAAGGATAAATAGACAATGGAAAAATGGAATGACTATGTTTCTGAATATATACAATCTGATATATTTGAAGAGGTAATGGGGAAACAAATGTCAAAAGATTTTGAATAAATGGACAAGTTATAGTAATTGGGGGAAGCCAACCCAAGCATCCAAATTAGAATGAATAATCTGTGCACATGGTTAAAGATTTGAAGAGAGAACAATTTTGGAGGGGAGGGGTTAAAGGGGAGGGAGGGAGGAAGGGGGAAACAATTAGGAGAAATGAATAGGGACAAAAGTATATACTATTACGCATAACTAATAGGAAGATGATTTTGATGCATGTTATAGTTAGATTTTCGACAGAATGATTTTTTTTGGTAAGTTATTCGACGTCCCTGGATGAAAATGTGATTATAAAGAATGGGGGGGGGAATGGTTTATGGAGTGGTGTTTCATTATAAAAAAAGACCCTAAACCCCTGCTCTCTGAATTAATTCTTCCAGTTCCTTTTCCAAGCAGAAACTAGATGGAAGGGGAGAAGAAAATGAACGAGAGAGAGAGAGAGAGAGAGAGAGAGAGAGAGTGCAGCTGAATAGGGTTAATGACACTCAAGGCAGGTGATATTCCAGGCCTTGGTGCTGATTCATTGATGGCTTTCGATGATAGCAACTCACCTCCGTTCTCCACGAAGCAAAGCATTTATGTCAGTTGCAGCAGCTCAGAGGGAAGATGCATTAAACCCAGTTTTGGCTTGCTGTTATGATCTTGAAGGTATCCACTCTTCTTGAGAAATGCCCAAAGGGGCACTGCGTCATCTACCTTCAGGGTGGTGGTGAAATGCTGCAATTTTATTGCCGAGAAGGGCTCCTGCTCTGTCGGCAGAGCACCTGCTTCGCAAGCAGACGGTCCCAGGTTCGAATCCCCATGGGGCATCTCCAGGTGGGGCTGGGAGAGAACGGTGCCCGAAACCCTATGCCAGGGTGTGTGGCAGGAGGGGATGGCAAGTGTGGCAGGAAAATTCAAGGGCAATTAAAAAAGACAAATATTTTAACATTTCAGTGTAGGGTAACTTAGTAGAGTGTGTGTGTGTGTGTGTGTGTGTGTGTACAGTGGTACCTCGGGTTGCGAACGGGATCTGTTCTGGAGGTCCGGCCACATCCTGAGGAATTTGCAACTGGAGAACTGCTTCTGTGCATGCACACGGAGCAGTTTAGCGCTTCTGCGCATGTGCACGTGGCGAAATCCAGAAAAATACTTCTGGGTTTGCTGGTTCGCATCCCGAAGTTTACGTATCCAGAGGCTTAGGTAAGCAGAGGTATGACACTCTCTCTCTCTCTCTCTCTCTCTCTCTCTCTCTGGATATACAAGCAGACGGGGTGAGCTCCTGTTGCTCGGTCCCTGCTCCTGCCAACCTAGCAGTTCGAAAGCATGTCAAAGTGCAAGTAGATAAATAGGTACCACTCCGGCGGGAAGGTAAACGGCATTTCCATGAGCTGCTCTGGTTCGCCAGAAGCAGCTTAGTCATGCTGGCCACATGACCCGGAAGCTGTACGCCGACTCCCTCGGCCAGTAAAGCGAGATGACCACCGCAACCCCAGAGTCGGCCACAACTGGACCTAATGGTCAGGGGTCCCTTCACCTTTTATACAAGCAGAAGTAACAGTATCCACTCCAAGGACAATGACTGTTTTCTTATACTTCTTCTGTTTAGGGCTTTAAAGGTCAGCACCAACACTTTGAATTTTAATGTTTGATGTTTTATTCTGTTTTTAATATTCTATTGGGAGCTGCTGCTTCTTCTTCTTCCTACTACGACTATTATTATTTGGCTTTTCTTCCAGACAACCACTGAAAGAAAGAAGGAAGCAAAGAGAACGGAGGGAGAGGAATAATCTGGGTAAGAAACGTTCCTAAACTCTGGATGGATTGGAATGGGGAGACTCGCCTGCTCCATGAGGCCGGGACGCTCGACGAATGCTGGTTTCATCATTAAAGTGCTCTTCCTTCTCCTGCTTTGTAGACATGGTAAGGACTCGACAGGCAATTGGCTGGATCCAGCAAACTCTTCTGCTATACAGTGGTACCTCGGGTTAAGTACTTAATTGGTTCTGGAGGTCTATTCTTAACCTGAAACTGTTCTTAACCTGAAGCACCACATTAGCTAATGGGGCCTCCTGTTGCTACGCTGCCGGAGCACGATTTCTGTTCTCATCCTGAAGCAAAGTTCTTAACCCGAGGTACTATTTTGGGTTCGTGGAGTCTGTAACCTGAAGTGTATGTAACCTGAAGTGTCTGTAACCCGAGGTACCTCTGTACCTGTTTAAACCAGTCCTTTATTCAATCAATCAGTCCTTTATTAGGCATAGCAAACCACACATTATAAATCAAACACCGTATACAGATTGTGGAAAATATGAATTCAGCATAACAATTTGCATAAATAAAACAGTATAACACTACCACATCACCGACAATTCAAGAACCACTAAATCTCTCCATAATGGCCTAGTCTTTCCTCATGGACAGCACTCAAAAATTTAGCCACTATTAAAGTGATTTGATCATTCCTGTCCGAGAGCAGGCCCTGAACCGCTGGCAGCATAGAACCAAGCCTGTTAGATTGTAAGGCCTCTGACAATTGTCTTCTGGCATAAATGCCAAAATCACAAGAAAAGAAAATATGCTCCAATGTATCAGGTTCCTGCCTACCACATTTGCAGAGACGCTCTGCTTCTGGGAGAGCTAAATATCTTCCTCTTACTATCATCGAGGGAAACATATTAAATCTCCAGCCCTTTATTCAGAACCACAAGGACTGGGAAATTGCTATTACAGTGGTGCCCGCAAGACGAATGCCTCGCAAGACGGAAAACCCGCTAGACGAAAGGGTTTTCCGTTTCTGAGTTGCTTCGCAAGACAATTTTCCCTATGGGCTTGCTTCGCAAGACGAAATGTCTTGCTAGTCTTGCAATTCCCCCCCCCGCTTTCCCCCCTTTTTCTAAGCCGCTAAGCCGCTAATAGCCTTTTAGCGGCTTAGCCGCTAATCCTTTAATAGCCGTTAAGCCGCTAATAGCGCTAATCCGCTTAGCCGCTAATAGGGTTGCTTCGCAAGACGAAAAAACCGCTAGACGAAGAGAATCGCGGAACGGATTCTTTTCGTCTTACGAGGCACCACTGTATATTTAGGGCAAGGACTGCAGCTCAGTGATTGTATGAGTGTGTTGCTGAATTCTCCACAGTTATCTTTGCAAGGAAGGAGGGTGGAACAAGGGGTCCCCACGTGATCCAGTGGATCCCTGCCAGCATGGCACTGCAACGAACACTGAACTGTTTTATATGTCGGAAGAATTTAGTCTTATAACTTATAATTTATTACCTTTTAAAGTACCTTTTTAAAAAAAAAACCAGTCCTTTTCGTTGGGGATAATTCAGAGGAAATTCCCAGGTGTCAAAAAAGACTATTTATGCATGCCACTACTGTGGCCCATGTTTCGTTAGCCCATAAATGGAAAACGAGTGAGGTCTCAACCAAAGAAGAGTGACAGAATACGTGCAGCTTGCGGATTTAACATATAGAATAAGAGAACAAGAAGAATGTATGTTTAAAGAAGACTGGAAAATGCTTACTGAATAGATGGATGAAAATTGTGTTCATTTAAAAGCTCCGGTAGCATTAAGATAAATTCAGCAGTGAATATAAGTTTTGATGGAAGTAATGATGGATTACTGAATGGTTTAGTTGAGGGGTCAGCAAACTTTTTCAGCAGGGGGCCGGTCCACAGTCCCTCAGACCTTGTGGGGGGGCAGACTATATTTTGGCGGGGGGAAATGAATGAATTCCTATGCCCCACAAATAACCCAGATATGCATTTTAAATAAAAGGACACATTCTACTCATGCAAAAACACGCTGATTCCTGGACCATCCATGGGCCAGATTTAGAAGGTGATTGGGCCAGATCCGGCCCCCTGGCCTTAGTTTGCCTACCCATGGTTTAGTTCATGTAAAATATGCAGGGATGTATGGCATGCAAAATGAACCACGGAAAGAGAAGAAGGGAAGTCATTGATTTAAGGTTGTTTAAATGAATATTTTGAAATGTAAATCAGAAAGTTTTACCTGACTCTGATCTTCACGGCTGTTTTTCCCCCTTTCTCTTCCTATCATTACCATCGTTGCTATTTGGGTTCTGCCCTGCAGCATATTCCCACTGCAAGATCTTGCGCTGCAACTCTGAGTACGTGGCCGCCACGCTCAACTTGCGCGGCCCCAACAAGCACGCCAGCTACTGCAACACCCTGCGCTCCTACTCCCGCTGCACTCGCAGGACGGCCCGTACCTGCCGCGGGGACCTCGCCTACCACTCTGCCGTCCACGGCATCGAGGACCTCATGATCCAGAACAAGTGCTCTAAGGAGGGGCCCACTTCGCCGCGGCGACCCCCTGCGCCACCCCCTGCACACCAGGGTTTGGAACCCCCAGAGATCTGCGATTACGAGAAGAGCTTTTCCCGGAAGCATAACAGACCCCCCACGTACCAGCACTGCGCCACGTTTGGGGACCCCCACGTACGGACCTTCAGCGACGAGTTCCACACATGCAGAGTGGAAGGTTCCTGGCCTCTCCTGGACAACAACTATTTGTTCGCTCAAGCGACCAGCTACCCCGTCTTGAAAGGATCAAACGCAACAGCTACTAGCAAGGTAAGAAATGGTGACCTCTACAGGTGTCCCATTAAAGTTTCCCATGGCTTGTGTCATTGGTGGTGTGACCAGGGAGAGAGCCTCATAATTACTATGGACATTTGTAGCAAATTGCATCTGTGACGGTTGCCCCCCTTGGTGTGCTGGTCCCGTGGGTTTCCATGAGGTGAGGTCTGAGTCCAGTCCGAGGTCGAGGGAGCAGTGTTGAGGCCATCCATCAAAGCTGAAGCTGGGTCCAAGGCAGGGAGTCGGGTGAGGTCAGGGATATGGCAGGACAAGGTGCAGGCAGAAACTGGCTACCAACAACGTTGCTCCTGCAACTTGGGACTGGGGCTGGCTGGCTTTTATCTGCCCCTAGGCATAGGGCGGCCCCTGTCCACAGGTGGCTCGCCTCTCCTGGCCTGGAGGCGAGCACTCCTCCTGCGGGAACTTAGTTCCCTCCGCCTCTCTGCCCTGAGCCTCTGCAGCTCAGGAGAGGCTGGAGGGTTACCAGACCCAGAGGCAACCTCAGCCTTCCCTGACGGGGCTGAGAGTGGAGCACCTGCAGGCAATGGGTCCTCCATCACCTCAGGGGCCAGAGCCGACTCAGCTGATGCCTGCACCTGAGGATCCAGCACAGGTGAGGACCCTTCAGGCTCAAGCCCCAACCCCGGCTCAGCTGGTTCTGGAGGCGGGGAATCCTGTGCAGGCTGGGATTCCTCAGGTTCAGCCTCCAAGTCCGAATCGCAGGCCATCACACTAGGTGTGTGACATCATACTGGGTTCATAGGGAAAGGGTTAACTAATTGTAAAATGACTAACCAATGGGAACCCAGGGGGAGGAGTTAGAGTTAGGGTGGAGAAGACAGTCTGGAGTTAGAAGAGACAGATAAGATAAGTCTGGGTTGGGCTAGTCTGGTGTGAGAGAGTGAGCGAATTTGTTAACAGGAGTCAGTCAAACAGTTGAGATAATCAGTCAGAAGGTATTAGGAAGGTATAGGCCGGTATAGAAACTAAAGTTAAGATACTGACACGAATATCATCGGAGAAACCATAAACTTGTTAATGTCTGTAAAAGAAACTTGGGTTTTTTTGGTTCACTTTTAACAACTGTCTGGACTCAGTGTTTTACCAGAGAGTAACTGGTTGGTGGCAGCGGGGAAGCGAGCACAGTGGTGGCACAGAGATCAATAGACCGTTAAACGTCCAGGAACCCTGTGTGATCACCACAGTATCTAAGACCTATCAGCGGTTTGCTTTGCACTGGGAAGACGCCAGGTTCACCTGCCCATATCTTCAGTCAAAGGGTCTCAGGGAGCAAGTCACTATTCTGACATTCGGATTTGGAGAAGGGCTGCCAGTGAGTGTAGATGCCACTGGGCTGGGTGGATCAAAGATGCGATACAGCACACTCATTTATACTCCTTCCAACACTGTATATATCAGAACCGGAAAGCCTCGGGTCAGGGGGCGGGGTTCATATGGGGCTCACCCCTCCCACTGGACTGGATAGCCAGGCCTTCCAAGTCTTCTCTCGCCTCTTCTAGGGGGAGGAGACCCTCCAGATCTGGCAGAGCTAAGGATGGCCCTGAAACCTGAAACAGGGTTGTGAAGACTGCAGAGAGAATAATTGGGTGCACTCTTCCCACCTTAGATCAAATCTATGCTGCCAGGTGCCATAAGAAAGCGGCAGAGATAGCGCAGGATAGTACGCACCCCGGAAATGATCTCTTTTAGCTTCTGCCTTCTGGAAGAAGGTACAGGGATATAAAGGCCAGGACTAGCCACCTGAGAAACAGTTTCTCCACAATTGAATTCTGGTCCTAAACGCAGCATAAGGGGTCTCTATAGTATAGTGTATTTTAGAATGGGGTTTCAGAGTTTTTAGGGGTTTTTGAATGTTTTATGTAGCTTTTATATAGTTTTAATGTAGTTTTATGTAGTTTTTCAGTTTCATTGTCCTGCATGGGACAATGACAATAAAGATATCGTATATCGTATATCGAAAAACAAAACAAGCACAGCCGTGGTCACCATGCCCCATACAAAAAATTATGCCACAGGAGACACATTCGGAAGTTACATAACACCACACTTACATCTCCATTGAAACCAGGGATGTATCTACACTGAACTGTTTTAACGTCATGAGAACGATATTAGATATAATTCAGGCACGTCCCTCTTCCAAGAGACTGCGATCTACTCCCAGTATATAAAAAAACTGGCAGTGATCTACTGATGGTCATTGGTGGGAGGAGGAGCATGCGTGGGGTGGGGTGGGTGGAGGGGGAGGATTGCCCAGAGTTTTTGAGCTTTTTTTTAGGGTGGACTGCCCAGGGTTGTTTTGGGAATGATCCCGCGATCTACCACGAGCAGCCGGGGATCTTTCGGTAGATCGCGATCTAGTGGTTGGACATGCCTGAGATATATCATTCTAAAACATCGCAGGGCATGCTTGTTAATTAAAGCGGGTTTTACCTTTGTTTTTTTCTTTGAAAAGATGTCTCCCTACTGCTGATGGCTGGTTGCTCTGCGCAGCCCACCTGTGTTGCATTTTAATAGTGTGTTATGAACGTTAAAAGTAGGACATCATGTGTCCATATACGTTATCAAAACCCTTATTTAACGTTAAAAACCATGAGTGTAGATCCGCCCTAGGACAACAAAAGCATATGAACCCACACTCCGTAGGAAGAATAAGAGGAAAGAGGGAACCAGAGGTGGGCGGATATCCTCCAGTTTACAGAAATTAATGGCAAGTACCAATTTTTGTTTTTGCCAATGAATATTCTATGAATGACGCGGGTGGCGCTGTGGGTAAAACCTCAGCACCTAGGACTTGCCGATCGCATGGTCGGCGGTTCGAATCCCCGCGGTGGGGTGTGCTCCCGTCATTCGGTCCCAGCGCCTGCCAACCTAGCAGTTCGAAAGCACCTCCGGGTGCAAGTAGATAAATAGGGACCGCTTACCAGCGGGAAGGTAAACGGCGTTCCGTGTGCTGCGCTGGCTCGCCAGATGCAGCTTGTCACGCTGGCCACGTGACCCGGAAGTGTCTGCGGACAGCGCTGGCTCCCGGCCTATAGAGTGAGATGAGTGCACAACCCCAGAGTCTGTCAAGACTGGCCCGTACGGGCAGGGGTTCCCTAAGGACAGGGCTGGTTTTCCCTGCAGCAGAACAAATATGAACAACCCTCCGCAGTGTCTTTCTCCCAAATGCAGCGTCAGCTAAGGAAGAACCCGCCTGCTTTAGAATTCTTTGCAAAAGTAAGAGCAGAGGCCCAAGTGGCTGCCCTGCAGATGTCAACAACCAGGAAACTGCCCAGGGCTGGATGCTACCACTTCTTTAAGGAGCGACGAGTCCCCTAGGAGGACTCTCAAGTTCGTACATGGAGAACTAGAGAGGAGGACAAGAGAGATACCTGAGAGGATGTATATTCTGAAGCACACGGGGCTCTTGAGATGGCCATGTGCCAGAGATTCCTTAGCTGGGGATTCCTGCATTGCAGGGGGCTGGACCAGATGACCCTTGAGGTCCCTTCCACCTCTACAATTCCCTGATTCTAGGGGTCAGTGTGTGTGTGTGGTGTGTGTGTGTGTGTTGTGTGTGTGTGTGTGTGTGTAAAGGTAAAGGACCCTGACTTTTAAGTCCAGTCAACGGAACCGACTCTAGGGTTGCGGCGCTCATCTCACTTTACTGGTCAAGAGAGCGATGTTTGTCCGCAGTTTTTTCTGGGTCATGTGGCCAGCATGACTAAGTCGGCTTCTGGCAAACCAGAGCAGCGCACGGAAATGCCGTTTTACCTTCCTGCCAGAGTGGTACCTATTTATCTACTTGTACCTTGATGTGTTTTCGAACTGCTAGGTTGGCAGGAGCAGGGACCTAAACCACTGAGCCTCTTGGGCTTGCAGATCAGAAGGTTGGCGGTTCAAATCCCCACGATGGAGTGAGCTCCCATTGTTTTGTCCCAGCTCCTGCCAATCTAGCAGCCCGAAAGCACGCCAGTGCAAGTAGATAAATAGCTACCACTGCGGCGGGAAGGTAAACGGCGTTTCCGTGCGCTCTGGTGTCCCGTTGCTCCAGAACAGCTTTAGTCATGCTGGCCACATAACCTGGAAAGCTGTCTGCAGACAAACGCTGGCAAAAGTAAGCAGAGGCCCAAGTGGCTGTCCTACAGATGTCAACAACTGGGAAACTGCCCAGGGCTGATGTTACCACTTCCCTTAAGGAGCGACGAGTCCCCTAGGAGGACTCTTCAAGTTCATACATGGAGAACTAGAGAGGAGGACAAGAGAGATACCTGAGAGGACGTATATTCTGAAGCACACGGGGCTCTTGGATGGCCATCTGCCAGAGATTCCTTAGCTGGGATTCCTGCATTGCAGGGGGCTGGACCCTTGAGATCCCTTCCAACTCTGTGATTCTCTGAGTCAGTCTGTGTGTGTGTGTGTGTGTGTGTGTGTGTGTGTGTGTGTAAAGGACTCCTGACAGTTAAGTCCAGTTGCGGATGACACTAGGGTTGCGGCGCTCATCTCGCTTTACTGGCCGAGGGAGCCGGTGTTTGTCCTCAGATAGTTTTCCCGGGTCATGTGGCCAGCATGACTAAGCCACGTCTGGCGAAACCAGAGCAGCGCATGGAAACGCCGTTTACCTTCCCACCGGAGCGGTACCTATTTATCCACTTCTACTTTGTGCTTTCGAACTGCTAGGTTGGCAAGAGCTGAGGCAGAGCAATGGGAGCTCACCCCGTCGTGGGGATTCGAACCGCCAACCTTCCAATCAGCAAGCACTAGGCTCAGTGGTTTAGACCACAGCGCCACCCGCATCCCGTGTGTGTGTGTGTGTGTGTGTGTGCATATCTATATATATACATACATACACATATGTACATGCATATGCATATGTATATATACACACAGCTACACATACCCACTACCCACAAACATCCAAAAGTCCTGCTGAAAATCTGTCAGGATTTCAGTGTGCATTTCTCTTCCCTGTACACACTTTTGGAAAATAATAAATGGGTCAGCTCACAGCTATCACACTCCCAGGGAGATTAAGTGGCTTGGGCACACATGGAGAGCATGAAATAGTGCTGTGATGTAAACCACAGAGCCTCTTTTGCCTGCAGATCAGAAGGTTGGCGGTTTGAATCCCCGCGACAGGGTGAGCTCCCGTTGCTCGGTCCCTGCTCCTGCCAACCTAGCAGTTCGAAAGCACGCCAGTGCAAGTAGATCAATAGCTACCACTGCTGTGGGAAGGTAAACGGCGTTTCCGTGCGCTCTGGTTTCCATCACAGTGTTCCTTTGTGCCAGAAGCGGTTTAGTCCTGCTGGCCACATGACCTGGAAAGCTGTCTGTGGACAAACGCTAGCTCCCTCAGCTTGAAAGTGAGATGAGTGCCACAACCCCATAGTCGCCTTTGACTGGACTAAACCATCCAGGGGTCCTTTACCTTACCTTTTTTACCTCTCTCTTTTCAGCTCACCATCATATTCAAGAACATGAAGGAGTGCATAGACCAGAAAGTCTACCAGGCGGAGATCGACAACCTGCCGGCGGCTTTCGAGGACGGATCCACGAACGGGGGCGAGAAACCCGGAGGGAAAAGCCTGAGCATCCACGAGCGCACGCCCGGGCAGCACGTGGAGATCCTCGCCACGTACATCGGCACCACCATTGCCGTGCGCCAGGCAGGGAGGCAGCTCTCTTTCTCCATCCGGGCGGCCGAGGACGTGGTGCGCTCCTTCACGGAGGAGCAGGACCTCCAGCTGTGCGTGGGGGGCTGCCCTCCCAGCCAGCGCATCTCCCAGACCGAGTGCTGCTGCAGCAACGGAGCCATCCCTGCGCAGAAGGCCCAGCTCCTGTGCAAGGAGAAGCTGCCGGTGGAGGACGTCTACTTCCAGTCATGCGTCTTTGACGTGGTGACATCGGGAGACGTCAACTTTACGCTGGCTGCACACGCTGCCTTGGAGGACGCCAAAGTCTTCCATCCGGACGCCAAGAAGCACCACCTCTTCCAAAGCGATGCAGCTTGCGTGTCCCGTTGCTCGGCCTTCCTCCTCGCCATCACGTTGGTCCTTTCAGCGTTGCAGCTACACTTCTGAAGGTTTCTGGGGACTGGTGGAAAGGTGTATGGTGCTAGTTTGAGAGGATAGCGAATGGGAAGAAGAAGAAGAGTTTGGATTTGGTATCCCGCTTTATCACTACTCGAAGGAGTCTCAAAGCGGCTAACATTCTCCTTTCCCTTCCTCCCCCACAACGAACACTCTATGAGGTGAGTGGGGCTGAGAGACTTCAAAGAAGTGTGAGTGGCCCAAGGTCACCCAGCAACTGCATGTGGAGGAGCGGAGACGCAAACCCAGTTCCCCAGATTACAAGGCTACCGCTCTTAACCACTACACCACACTGGCTCCCAGAGTGGGGTTGACTCCCCCAGAAGCATGGCCCTCAGCAAACATGGGACAGGGCAAACTGTAAAGCTGTAAGAATCTGGGATGGGTGGAGATTATGTTTAGAAGCAGGGCACCCTGACCTTCAAAGCTTTATTAGGGAGAGGAAAAGCTGAGAGTGGAAACGGACAAATCTGTTGATTTTGACCTCTCCGCTCCTCATTTATCAAATCTTAAATTCAGCGTGCCACACTTCCACATCATTTTTTATTTATTTAACAAATCCTCATGAAGATTCATCAGCGTTTTGGTGAGAATTTCTCCTAATATGCACATTTTATTTTTTTTTGCAAGCAATTAATGGAAATGCATTCTTGTACACTATTTTACCAACGTATGCACACTTTTTATCCTAGCAGATGCGTATTTGTACACTTTTTCTTTGTTAGACAGCTGCGTCGCAAAATTTGGAGAAGTATGGGTTTCAAATGACATCTGTGCTTCAGTTGGCGTATCGTTTTAGGAAACGGTCCTACAAGTGGCGAATATAGGATGGAAAAGAGAATTATGTCTGCTTACACTCTTATTGTGTGTGCCCCACGTTCTGCCTGACACCCTGTTAAGCTCGCCTGCTTGTCTCAGGTACAATGAAGGACAAGGCACCATCGCTAGCGTTGAAGGAAGAGTCAACTGCCAATCCAATAGCCTTCTCTACATGAACCAGATGGGGGACACCATCTTGTGGTTTTTTTTGCAGGGGATTGGACTAGACAACCTTTCGGGTGTCTTCCAGCTCTACAATTCTATAATTCTCCTCCCCCCAGGCAGCTAAATGGCTTCGGTAGTCCTGAATAAATAAATCTCAATGTAGCATGCCCAGGAGAACATTCCTTTCTGGAATGAGCCCTGACATCATGGCCTGTTGACTCAGGGCAAGCCTACTGATATGAGGGAGACTACTATAATACTAAGGGACGCGGGTGGCATTGTGGTCTAAACCACAGAGCCTAGGGCTTGCTGATTGGAAGGTCGGCGGTTTGAATCCCCGCAACGGGGTGAGCTCCCGTTGCTCTGTCCCAGCTCCTGCCCACCTAGCAGTTCGAAAGCACGTCAAGTGCAAGTAGATAAATAGGTACCGCTCCGGTGGGAAGGTAAACGGCGTTTCTGTGCACTGCTCTGGTTCACCACAAGCGGCTTAGTCATGCTGGCCACATGACCCGGAAGCTGTACGCCGGCTCCCTTGGCCAATAAAGCAAGATGAGCACCGCAACCCCAGATTCGTCCACGACTGGACCTAATGGTCAGGGGTCCCTTTACCGTTACCTTTACTCTAATACTAAGGGATGCTGGTGGTGCTGTGGTCTAAACCACAGAGCCTAGGGCTTGCCGATCGGAAGGTTGGCGGTTCGAATCCCCGCGACGGGGTGAGCTCCTGTTGTTCGGCCCCAGCTCCTGCCCACCTAGCAGTTCGAAATCACGTCAAGTGCAAGTAGATAAATAGGTACCGCTCTGGCAGAAAGGCAAATGGTGTTTCCGTGCACTGCTCTGGTTCGCCACAAGCGACTTAGTCATGCTGGCCACATGACCCGGAAGCTGTCTGCGGACAAACGCCAGCTCCCTCGGCCTATAGAGCGAGATGAGTGCGGAACCCCAGAGTCGTCCGTGACTGGACCTAACAGACAGGGGTAACTTTACCTTTACTCTAATACTGGTGATGTGTGCATTGCAACCTTAGGCTCGTATAACTTGTGCTAATCAAAACCTATTGGATCTGATCGGGGAGGGACTTTGGGAAATTATTAAGGAATGTAAATAAGAAAGGGGGGGGAAATGATTAATATATTGAAGCTGAAGACTTTAAGAGAGGTTGCATTTGTCTGCGGAGACTGTGAATGTGATCTGCTAATGCTGTCATTGGTATCAGTTATTGATGGTGCATGGAAGCGTCATTCCACACCATATCACCTGGTTCCATGTGCTCTCGCGACTCAGATTTTCTTCAAAAAATTTTAATGTGTTAAGATTTTTTTTGGTCCATTATTGACCATATCACATGTAACATTGGAAACAAAATAGCTTTGACCATATCATTGCAGAAGCGTTTTACACAATAAAATGAGTAAGGGCTCTAAGATGTATTTTGTTTTTATTAAATAATCAATAAAACTTACTTTTTAAACTATATTAGATGGCATTGTAACACAAGAGGGTACACTTTTAACTATTCAGATGTGTGAGCTATTTCAGTCTCAAAGAGACCTTAAACCTGTACAAATAATACATTTTTTTTGTAAAAAAAAAATTCTTCAAAAACAATTTATTTTATAACCACAAAAAACACCCTCCTTATCTTTAAAACATAACAAGTACATGGTTAGCCCATTCTACAAAAAAAGTATGAATCGTGTGCTAGTTGTGGCTTGTGCGCTATGGCTTATCGAATCTACTGGGAATAAAATGACAAAAATTCACTTTGAATGGTTGGTGACCCTTTTCTGTGGCACTTAATACCATTTTTATACCTTATTTTGAAAGAGACCACAATTAGCTTTATTTTAATACCAAAATAAGCTCAGTTGGAAAATAAGCGAAACAGGAGGTTTTTTCCTAAACTGATACAGAAATTGCATTAGCCTAAATCACTCAAAAATCGAAATTTAAAAAAATTCTCCTGCACCCAATTTTGGACCAAAAAATCTAAAAAAATTAATTTGAGGTTATTTTATAGCTATCTACACATAATTTTTTTTTTAAGAAAATCTGAGTCGTGAGAGCACGGTCAAGTATTAAAATCAGGTGATTTGGCATGGAATGACCAGGAAACTAAAGTTTCAAGGGGGAAGAAGAATGAGTGTGTGTGTGTGTGTGTGTGTGTGTGTGTGTGGTGACATAGCCTGCAATGAATTTCTAGGTTTTGATTCCTTCAAGCCACATCACGTCACAATGATTGGGTATGAGACATATTCCCATATTCCGATCTCTGCAACCCTGCCTCCAGCATTGACAGTGTTCGCTTCTGAACTGCCTCCGTACGGCCTCCGTTAATCCTCAAGTGTTTGACATTAAAAATACATCTATTTTTGAAGACTTCATTTCCTCTCATCTATTTCTCCTTTAAGCGCCTGGCTTGCAACAGGTGAAGCTAAAAATAACTCGCCTTAATGAGGGCGGGGGGGTGTGTGTCTCTCCTCTTCCGTTGGAAAAATGAAATGCATACAAACAGAATGTCCAGCATGAAGTCAGAAAGGAGAGGATCCCTGTATCTCCAATTCAGACATTCCTCCTAATTTTCAGTACACCAGTTCATGGGTAATTTCATTGCCTCTCCAGTCCCCAAATGTGCAATGTAATCTCTCTCTACGGTTGTGTTTCTGACAAACAGGGCGGGTGAAAACAGGCCCCTCTCCCATTAAATAACATGCACAGATCCCATTAAATAACATGCACAGGCCCCTCTCCCATTAAATAACATGCACAGATTAAACAAGGTGTTAATCTGTGGATGCCTCAAAAGGGGGGGGGGGATGAGCAGGAGCTGTCCATGGAGGGCAAGAATGCAAAACAGCAGACCACCTCTTGCATCTTTAATACCTTCACAGAATGGCTGGGGCAACCAAGTCAGATGGACTGCATACAAAGAATAAAATTATTATTATTATTAGAATTGTTTTTGGTCCTGTTGGGACGCGGGTGGCGCTGTGGGTAAAACCTCAGCGCCTCGGACTTGCCAATCGAAAGGTCGGCGGTTCGAATCCCCGCGGCGGGGTGCGCTCCCGTTGTTCGGTCCCAGCGCCTGCCAACCTAGCAGTTCGAAAGCACCCCCGGGTGCAAGTAGATAAATAGGGACCGCTTACTAGCGGGAAGGTAAACGGCGTTCCGTGTGCTGCGCTGGCTCGCCAGATACAGCTTGTCACGCTGGCCACGTGACCCGGAAGTGTCTGCGGACAGCGCTGGCTCCCGGCCTATAGAGTGAGATGAGCGCACAACCCTAGAGTCTGGCAAGACTGGCCCGTACGGGCAGGGGTACCTTTACCTTTTACCTTGGTCCTGTTAAGGACTTTCCCCCCTTCATGAAAGCGATCTCTCTCTCTCTCTCTCTCTCTCTCTCTCTCCTAACAACTGATTTTGCTTAGATTCCGATCAATTTTTAGGTTGACTTTCTTTGATTTCATCAAGACCAGGGGTCAGTAAACTTTTTCAGCAGGGGGCCGGTCCACTGTCCCTCAGACCTTGTGAGGGGCCGGACTATATTTTCTTTTGGGGGGGGGAATGAATGAATTCCTATGACCCACAAATAACCCAGTGATGCATTTTAAATAAAAGCACACATTCTACTCGTGTAAAAACACCAGGCAGGCCACACAAATAACCCAGAGATGCATTTTAAATAAAAGGACACATTCTACTCATGTAAAAACATGCTGATTCCCGGACTGTCCATGGGCCGGATTGAGAAGACGATTGGGCCGGATCCGGCCCCTGGGCTTTACTCTGTCTACCCATGATCAAGACCTTTTAAAAGAACGTTTTATACTCCATTTATACCAGTTAAAGGTTGCAGAAAACAGAGTGCTTAAAAATTGGGAAAGGAGTACGACAAGGCTGTATATTGTCCCCCTGCTTATTTAACTTATATGCAGAATTCATCATGCGAAAGGCTGGGCTGGATGAATCCCAAGCCGGAATTAAGATCGCTGGAAGAAATATCAACAACCTCAGATATGCAGATGACACAACCTTGATGGCAGAAAGTGAGGAGGAATTAAAGAACCTTTTAATGAGGGTGAAAGAGGAGAGCGCAAAATATGGTCTGAAGCTCAACATCAAAAAAATGAAGATCATGGCCACTGGTCCCATCA